ACTATTAGATTTGACGCATGATGTAGCGGCCGTCAAAGGGATAGGGTGAGGCTGTTACTCGTGTGTGTGTGTACATACCTGTGTGTTGTGTACATTGTGTGTGTGGTTGGGTGTGTGTGTGTGCGTGATTGTGTGCAAGTTGGGTGTCTGTGTTTTTGTGGTTGGTCACTATGATGTTGTGTGTGTACGTGTGTGTGTGACGACGGCAACTTAATTGTTCAACAGACCATGAGATAACTGTACACTCCACCACACTTACATGAATAACAACTGGTGTGATGTGTGTGTGTGTGTGTGTCTTGTGATGTGTGTACATACCTGTGTGTGTGTTAACATACCGTTTATTGTGTGTATGAAACTAAATGTTTGAACTCAGAGTTTAGGTTGAATTCTAACAGAACTAACCAGGACTGAACCAGAAACATGACTAAACCAGGAACTAAACCAGGACCAAACCAGGACTAAACCAGGACCAAAACCAGGACCAAACCAGGACTAAACCAGGACCAACCAGGACCAAACCAGGACTAAACCAGGACCAAACCAGGACTAAACCAGGACCAAAAACCAAACCAGGACCAGGACCAAACCAGGACTAAACCAGGACCAAACCAGGACCCAGGACAAAACCAGGACCAAAAACCAGGACCAAACCAGGACTAAACCAGGACCAAACCAGGACCAAACCAGGACTAAACCAGGACCAAACCAGGACCAAACCAGGACTAAACCAGGACCAAACCAGGACCAAACCAGGACTAAACCAGGACTAAACCAGGACTGAACAAAAATCCAAACTAAGAATATGATTATTGACTCTCAAATTGCCTCAGAATCACGTCACAGACACAGACTGTGTTTAATCCACGTGTCAGAAACACTCGTCGTTTCTGTGTCTGTGAGTTTTTCTCTCCACAGATTTAAACAGATTTATTTAAGTTTTACACAAACTAAACTTAAACCACACGACTCATTTACATAAACTAATGTGTGTGAGAAAAACTGTTGTTTCTTGTGCTGAAGATGTGGTTCAGTTTGTGTTGGACTAAAAGACTCGACTCAGTGGAATATGAGTGTTCTACCTGTGACAGAGGGGTGTTCTCCCTGTGTCAGAGGGGTGTTCTCTCTGTGTCAGAGGGGTGTTCTCTCTGTGTGACAGAGGGGTGTTCTCTCTGTGTGTCAGAGGGGTGTTCTCTCTGTGACAGAGGGGTGTTCTCTCTGTGTCAGAGGGGTGTTCTCTCTCAGAGGGTGTGACAGAGGGGTGTTCTCTCTCAGAGGGGTGTTTCTCTCTGTGGAGAGGGGGTGTTCTCTCTGAGGGGTGTTCTCTCTGTGTCAGAGGGGTGTTCTCTCTGTGTGTCACAGAGGGGTGTTCTCTCTGTGTCAGAGGGGTGTTCTCTCTGTGTCACTCTCTGTGTGAGAGGGGTGTTCTCTCGTGTGTCAGAGGGGTGTTCTCTCTGAGGGTGTCAGAGGGGGTGTTCTCTCTGTGTCAGAGGGGTGTGTCGAGGGGTGTCTCTCTGTGTGACAGAGGGGTGTTCTCTCTGTGTCAGAGGGGTGTTCTCTCTGTGTGCAGAGGGGTGTGTTCTCTCTGTGTGACAGAGGGGTGTTCTTCTCAGAGGGTGTGTGAGGGGTGTTCAGAGGGGTGTTCTCTCTGTGTCAGAGGGGTGTTCTCTCTGTTCTGTGTGTCAGAGGGGTGTTCTCTCTGTGTGTCAAGAGGGGTGTTGTTCTCTCTGTGACAGAGGGGTGTTCTCTCTGTGACAGAGGGGTGTTCTCTCTGTGTCAGAGGGGTGTTCTCTCTGTGGGTGTTCTGTGTCAGAGGGGTGTCAGAGGGGTCTCTCTGTTGTCAGAGGGGTGTTCTCTCTGTTTGACAGAGGGGTGTTCTCTCTGTGTGTGTGTTCAGAGAGGGGTGTTCTCTCCCTGTGACAGAGGGTGTTCTCTCTGTGTGACAGAGGGGTGTTCTCTCTGTGTCAGAGAGGGGTGTTTCTCTCTGTGTCAGAGGGGTGTTCTCTCTGTGACAGAGGGGTGTTCTCTCTGTGACAGTGGTGAGAGGGTGTTCTCTCTCTGTGTCACAGAGGGGTTTCTCTGTGACAGAGGGGTGTTCTCTCTGTGTCAGAGGGTGTTCTCTCTGTGACAGAGGGGTGTTCTCTCTCAGAGGGGTGTTCTCTCTGTGACAGAGGGGTGTTCTCTCTGTGACAGAGGGGTGTTGTGACAGAGGGGTGTTCTCTGTGACAGAGGGGTGTTCTGGTGTGAGGGGTGTTCTCTGTGAACTGTGAGAGGGGTGTTCTCTGCTGTGACAGAGGGGTGGTTCTCTCTGTGCAGAGGTTGTGTGACTCTGGGTGTTCTCTCTGTGACAGTCTCTGTGACGAGGGAGTGTCTCGTGTGTGAGTTTCTGTGAGGTGTTTCTGTTGTTCAGTGGTGGTTCATGTGAAACTTTTCACACATTATACGTGTGCAGGTGGTGCACACACACACACGTTTATGTGAATGACACATATAGTGTGTCTCAGTGTTTTGTGGTGAGTCGGTGGTGACAGACACACATCACAGTATCAGTGTTTTCACACAGTCCCCATCACACTGTACTCACATACACACTAGTGTGAACAACACTGTACACACAACAACACCACTCACACACACACTAGTGTGAACGGGGTCATAAAGGGTGGGGCAGTGAGTGTGTGGCTCCTGTGAGGATCTTGTTAAATTGAGTTTTGATGATACTTTGTCCTTTTCTCGTGTGAACAGACTCACAGTGACTCTGTTAGAAACGATAAAAACAACAAGTCCCTGGTCAGTGAGGGAGTTTGGTTGTTCCTCCTGAGAACATCGTGGACTCGACTCAGACGAGGATCCAGATTCTCAAAGACGTGAAACATCCTCCAAACTCACAGGCTTTTAGTCCAAACATCGAGACCAAAACAGTTTAAAAAGAGCTTCGTTCCAGCTGCTCTCGAACTCATGAATAAATTGTAATTTGTCTTGGAAAACTCGAGTATTTTATTTAAAATGTATTGTGGTTTTAGTCAAGAGTGATGATGAATGTAACAGTTTATGGAACAAACTGTTGTTCACTGAAGCTCTCGAACACTTTACTGTGTAACTGTGTTTTTATTGATGTTTATTGTTCATGATGTGGAGGAATCAAGTGTGAAATGTGGAACCAGAATCTCAAATCTGCAAAACAAATTTACCTACAAAACGACTAAACTAAACCAGGACTGAACCAGGACTAAACCAGGACTGAACCAGGACTAAACCAGGACTGAACTAAGACTGAACCAGGACTGAACCAGGACTGAACCAGGACTGACTGAACCAGGACTAAACCAGGACTGAACCAGGACTGAAACCAGGACTAAACCAGAAAACTGAAACAGGACTGAACAGGACTGGAACCAGGACTGAACCAGGACTAAACCAGGACTGAACCAGGACTGAACCAGGACTAAACCAGAACTGAACCAGGACTGAACCAGGACTAAACTAAGACTGAACCAGGACTGAACCAGGACTGAACCAGGACTGAACCAGGACTGAAACCAGGACTAAACCAGGACTAAACTAAGACTGAACCAGGACTAAACCAGGACTAAACTAAGACTGAAAACCAGGACTGAACCAGGACTGAACCAGGACTAAACCAGGACTAAACTAAGGACTGAACCAGGACTAAAGACCAGGACTAAACTAGACTGAACCAGGACTAAACCAGGACTAAACCAGGACTGAACCAGGACTGAACCAGGAGTGAACCAGCAGTGAGTCAGTGTCTTGGGCGGTGCTTGTGCTTGTGGTTGTGGTTGTCGTGGTCTTCGTGTTTCGCCGTGGGGGAGATCGTCATGAGTTTGTGGAATCTGTGACTGATCGCTGGAAAACGCAAATGACGCAAAAACACTTTTCGACCGGACGCGATACGACGAGAACAAAATGAAAAAGGACGACAAATGTGGGAGTAAGAATGATTTCAGAAATATTCGTGTGCGTATTTGTTCGTCGCTGAGTCTAAAATAAAACTTGATCAACTCTGGGACGAGTCGAGTCCAACAGAAAATGTGTCGTGTGAATTTTATCGTCAGAAAATGAAATGAAAACGACAACGTCAAGAAATAAAATCTAAAAATGAAAATGTACGATTACACTTTGTTCATACAAACTGAACCAGAACTAAACCAGAACTAAACCAGAACTAAACCAGGACTAAACCAGGACTAAACCGAGACTAAATCAGGACTAAACTAAGATTAAACCAGGACTAAACCAGGACTAAACCAGGTCTAAACCAGGACTAAACCAGGACTGAACCAGAACTAAACCAGGACTAAACCAAGACTAAACCAGGACTAAACCAGGACTAAACCAGAACTAAACCAGGACTAAACCAAGACTAAACCAGGACTAAACTTGGACTTGAGAGAAAGAGGGAGAAACCTGAGCCGTGGACCAGGGTGTCCTCCGGGCCCGTCCCAATACTCAGTCCTGGTTCAGTCCTGGTTCAGTCCTGGTTTACTCCTGGTTTAGTCCTATTTTAGTCCCCTTTTAGTCCTGGTTTAGTCCTGATTTAGTCCTGGTTTAGTCCTGGTTTAGACCTGATTTAGACCTGGTTTAGACCTAGTTTAGTCCTGGTTTACTCCTGGTTTGGACTTAGTTTAGTCCTGGTTTAGTCCTGGTTTAGTCCTGGTTCAGTCCTGGTTCAGTTCTGGTTCAGTCCTGGTTCAGTTCTGGTTTAGTCCTGGTTTAGTCCTGGTTTAGTCCTGGTTTAGTCCTGGTTTAGTCCTGGTTTAGTCCTGGTTCAGTCCATATAAACAAAGTATAATCGTAAATTTTCATTTTTAGATTTTTTTTCTTGACGTCGTCGTTTTCGTTTCATTTTCTGATGATAAAAAAACACGACACATTTTGTGTTGGACTCGACTCGTCCCAGACTTTATGTTTTAAGATTTATTTTACTCTGACGAACAAACGCGGACACCAACATTTCTGGGTTTTCAGGTGAGTCGTACCTGTGCGGTTCGGGGCCGGTGCCGGTGCTGGTCCTGGTCCCGGTCCTGGTCTGGGCTCGGGGCAGGTCGGTCGGTCTCTGGTTTGTGAACGTGGGCAGGGGGTCTTTGGTCCAAACCGGGCTTTGAACCGTCGTCGTCGTCCAGGCGCAGGACGGCGGCGCGGGCGGGGCTTTCGGCTCGGGCGCGGTCGGAGCTCCGGAGCCCGACGCGGAGGGGGGGGCCACGTCTCGGCGCTCGGGTCCCAGGTTCGGCGCGTGTTTCTGGGCTTGTGCTTGTGCGGACCCTGGGGGGGACCTGTTCTGCTGAGCTCCAGAATCCGCGGGGGGAACGTCTCGGCTTTTGTGCCCCGGGATCGGAGCGTGTTTCTGGGCTTTCTCGGACGTCGGCTCCGGACCTCCGCGACTCGGGGGGGCGTCCCTGCTTTTGTACCCCACGTAAAGTGCTTTAAACTCGGGTTGTTGCCGGGAAAACCCTGGGTGTGTGACAGCGGGAGTGTGGTTCTCAGGATGAACATTTCCTTCTTTGGCTCGCGTTCCGACCATCACATCATCGCTATTTTGTTTGTCGGCTTTAATCTGTGGGAATTGAACCGGCGTCCCGGCTGCGCCCGCCCCCTCGTCCTCACGACCGGCTCCAGATGTCTCGCTGATGTGGCCTGGGATCGTTTTGGGAGCCGTTTCTGGAGTCTCTGGAGCTCCGGGGCGCCGCGGGGGGAGGTCCGGGCCGGCGTTCCCCAGCTGCGGAGCGTCGTCCCGGGGAAGAGGAGGAGGGTCGGGGCTCGGGGGCAGCGGGTCCTCGGCTCCGGCCTCACGCGCTTCTCCTGTTTCTGAGTCATGGGACAAGGTGGAAACGATGTCAACACGACGGGATTCACCTGAGGCCGCGGACCTGCGCACACAAAACACCCCGGCACACATTCCAGGAACATGAATCACAGAACAGAACCAGGACTAAACCAGGACTAAACCAGGACTAAACCAGGACTAAACCAGGTCTAAACAGAAAACAGGACTAAACCAGGACTAAACCAGGACTAAACCAAAAAGGACTAAACCAGGTCTAAACCAGGTCTAAACCAGGACTAAACCAGGACTAAACCAGGAAACCAGGTCTAAACCAGGTCTAAACCAGGACTAAACCAGGACTAAACCAGGACTAAACCAGGTCTAAACCAGGACTAAACCAGGACTAAACCAGGACTAAACCAGGTCTAAACCAGGACTAAACCAGGTCTAAACCAGGACTAAACCAGGACTAAACCAGGTCTAAACCAGGACTAAACCAGGACTAAACCAGAAATAAACCAGGTCTAAACCAGGACTAAACCAGGACTAAACCAGGACTAAACCAGGTCTAAACCAGGTAAACCAGGACTAAACCAGGACTAAACCAGGACTAAACCAGGTCTAAACCAGGTCTAAACCAGGACTAAACCAGGACTAAACCAGGACTAAACCAGGACTAAAACCAGGTCTAAACCAGGACTAAACCAGGACTAAACCAGGACTAAACCAGGACTAAACCAGGACTAAACCAGGACTAAACCAGGACTAAACCAGGTCTACTAAACCAGGACTAAACCAGGTCTAAACCAGGTCTAAACCAGGTAAACCAGGACTAAACCAGTCTAAACCAGGACTAAACCAGGACTAAACCAGGTCTAAACCAGGACTAAACCAGGACTAAACCAGGACTAAACCAGGTAAACCAGGACTAAACCAGGACTAAACCAGGTCTAAACCAGGACTAACTAAACCAGGACTAAACCAGGACTAAACCAGGACTAAACCAGGTCTAAACCAGGTCTAAACCAGGACTAAACCAGGACTAAACCAGGTAAACCAGGGACTAAACCAGGTCTAAACCAGGACTAAACCAGGACTAAACCAGGACTAAACCAGGTCTAAACCAGGACTAAACCAGGACTAAACCAGGACTAAACCAAGGACTAAACCAGGTCTAAACCAGGACTAAACCAGGTCTAAACCAGGACTAAACCAGGTCTAAACCAGGACTAAACCAGAACTAAACCAGGACTAAACCAGGACTAAACCAGGACTAAACCAGGTCTAAACCAGGACTAAAACCAGGACTAAACCACCAGGTCTAAACCAGGTCTAAACCAGGACTAAACCAGGACTAAACCAGGACTAAACCAGGTCTAAACTAAAACCAGGAAACTAAACCAGGACTAAACCAGGACTAAAACCAGGACTAAACCAGGACTAAACCAGGTCTAAACCAGGACTAAAGGAGGACCAGGTCTAAACCAGGACTAAACCAGGACTAAACCACTAAACCAGGACTAAACCAGGTCTAAACCAGGACTAAACCAGGACTAAACCAGGACTAAACCAGGACTAAACTAAACCAGGACTAAAACCAGGACTAAACCAGGACTAAACCAGGTCTAAACCAGGTCTAAACCAGGACTAACCAGGACTAAACAGGACTAAACCCAGGACTAAACCAGGACTAAACCAGGACTAAACCAGGACTA